GGGTTTTTTGGGACTTCCAGAGGATGTCTTCTGTCCTTTTTCGTGTGGAGACGAGACACAATTTTTCCTTTCCTAATTTACTGTGGTAATAATTGCAGGATGGTGAGATTATGCTACAGAAGCTCCAGGCCGGTGATTTGATCTGCAAGTTGTAGGAAGCCATACAGATTTTGATGTTCTCCTAAATTATAAAGGCTGTCTCAAACCAGTGACCTTTGATTTGTTTTTTGTTTTTAACAGTGGTCAGATGATGAGAATACTACAACGCTTAAGGTAAGGAGCTGTGAAAGCCGAACATGTGGGTTTGTCAGCAGCGTTCGTTCTGCGGTCTTCTGATGTAGGCTCATTGCTAGAGTTGGAGATATACGTTGCTGTAATTAACGTTCTCCGGGCTATCCTAGATGGACGGCAGCGCAGATGTCTGTAACTTTAAAAATGTTTGAATGGCTTAATTTTATTTAACTAAAAATAAAATGTTGCGTTTCTTCTTCCCCAAGAATCACACGCTTGTTAGACTGTAGGAAATGAACTGAAATATGGCGCTAAATATAGCTGTCTTTCATTCTCACCACTTTGAATATCCCCCGATTACTTAATTAGACTGGATACAGAAGAAATGAAGTCTCTGTGGCTCAATTTTCACAGCTCTTCTCTTACACCTTTGCCATTATTTCCTCCTAAGTTCCTTTCTATCGTCGTTTTCCCTTTCCTTGTCTTTTTGTTCTCCTTGTATTGTGCCTGGCTTAGAATCAGGATCATGATGAATAGGAACCAGGCTTCTTTGATCTATTTTTACATCTTTTTTTGAAACTTGCTATTGCGCCATCATTGTCAGAATTAATGTTTTTGCACCACTTGTCTGCCATTGATACTAATACTTCAGTCATATTAGCTCCCTGATGTTCAACAGTGTTGAATAACTCGCATTGGATTAGACACGATATAAACACTCGCTCCTGCTTTGAGTTGCATGTATGCTAACGCACAATTTATAGCATGCATTAGTATTAAGATATACGCTAACTTTGCGCATTAACAGCTTCAGTTCAGATGCCTAAACTTTGGTGGAATAGATGCCTGAGACTGGCAACCGCAATATGCATACCACAATCTTGTTCCGAATAATTTACATAAAGTCACATGTTGTTACATTGCTGAGGAAGTAACACCAGGCTTTTGAATCAGGTTTCATAATAGAGTACAACACAATAGGAGAAAAATATAATTGGGAAGTATGGTATGCGTTGAAAGGGTATAGGCCAAGTGATTTCAGTTTAGCTAGGTAAGGATTGTGTCCGGTATGTGGATTGCAGTTTTGCAGTTAATGTATATGGCTTCTTAATTGGAGCTATAATTGCAAGAGTTTTTATTTCTGAAAAATTGAACAGTAGGCGAGTGGATTTTTAACAAAGGTTAAGCGTTTAAGCATTGTGAGCTTAGTCTGCAGAAAACAAGTGGTTTGGATATCACCTCCTAGGATTTGCTATTAAACCGGCTTAATTGTATAACTGATTGGTGGCTTGTTCCACTGAGCTCAATGGAGGTTTTTGTCATTCATCAAAACTGGAACCTTGAAAACAGTTAATTATGGGAGTGGTTTGTGCCTGTGGCTATTTCCTATGCAAGCATATCTACGTTTGGTCCAATAAGAGACTCAAAAAAATGGAACTTCATAACGTACTCTATATCTTTTTCTAAGTTTGGTAGATGATTGCTCTAAAGACTCCATCCGTGGCAAACATGCTTCCCCTACCTGAAAACTAAGGGCTACTTTGAGGCCAGGGAGTGAACGGGAACAGTCTTCTGTGCTTCTTAGTGTTCCTCTGTTACCACTTTGGCAGTGATGGAGAAGATGGAGAAGGAGCCGATCTAGAGTGCAGAAGAGTGGGGAGCTGCAGCTGGAGTAAGGGCAGAATATAAGAATGGATGAGCTAGCTCCGTGGCTGAACGGAGAGACGCTAGGGAATATAACATGTGATGAGTAGTGGGAGAGGCTGGAGACTGCTCCTGCATTCACCGTCAACCTAGGGCACTCATATTTTACTAACAGCAAATCCTAGGTTCTAATTCTCCGTTAGTTTCTTCACTCAAGGAGCAGTAAGGTGGGCTGTGATTCTGATTTGATAACCCAACCCAGTCATCGGGTAGAACTTGTTTTCCCTGCCTCCTCTATATTCTAAAGAGGAGTTTAGAGTATAGGAGTACAAAAAATTACATATTTAAAAAAAAATACGTTAATATTGACGGTTGCAAGGTCAAGCATTCGGAAGTTACGAAATGTTAGAATTAAACTGGTTTATGCTGCCTTAGAGCTGTCCTCCCGGGCATACTTCTTCACTGGTATTAATCAAATGACGTGATAGTAATATCTCTCCAGGGAGGTTTCGTACGTACTGCTATTACATATCTCGCGTGACTTCTGACTTCTGTCAAAACAAGAGACGATTGGATCAGAATGCAGTGCTGGAAGAATTTTACTTTTTGCAGGAATGACTAGAATTGCCTGAAGCTCTAAAAATAAAATCAAGAAAGAGAATTACTTGTTCAGTTTTCAAGTAGAGTTTCCTGTGGAGGCTAGGTAATGCGCTAAGGAGTGATTCAGAATGTTTATACATATACAAATGTTCAATCTAGGTCATTGCACTGAAACGTATTTTTTGTTTGTTTAAATGTGTCTGCGCTGGGAGGAGGGGCAAGGGAGAGCTGTTATGATGTATGAAACTGTTTTATCACTTGGGTGACTGCAAGCAGTTAGCTTTAGCCTAGATGTTATCTTTGAGTGACATTTATTAAAAATAGGCAGAAACAGTATTCCTATATACTGTTCACTGTAAATCCTATTACATGAGAAGTCGTTGGTGTGTGTCTGAAATGCTTTCATAGTATTTTAAAGGTCAGCAATCTAATTTTTACATTGTGCTCCATTCTGAGGGTGGAATTTATAGCATCCTGAGGAGTTTTTTTCCCCGTTTTATGCTTACAGTACTTGTTTCAGTGTATGTCGTATTCTTTATAAGTCAAAGTCTTCCAGTACATCCCGTATCTTTCCAGTGCTTCCTGTCTTTGGAAATAAGTTAACATATAGTAATGAAGTGCTACTTTAAGACCTAATTTAAGAGCTGATTATTGGAAGTATTACCAACAACACCTTGTAAAACTAAAACTTAAATGAAGAACAGTAACTCAAATTCTCTGTGAATTGGTCTGTTTACTTTTGCTGTCTTATCTAATTCCTCAACGCAGTTAGAACTACCAGAAAACAGTACTGATCTTTCTACCTTTTAATGCTTTGACAGGATGCTGCAATGTTTGCATTGCAAACTTTTTCAAGGAGATGCCTCATTCTAAACAAACTACTTCTGGAAGTTATTTAATTTTTTTTTAATCTTCTTGGATGTTATTTACATAAATAAAGCAGAGAAACTTGAAAATGATTTATTCTACTAATTCATTATTTTTATGGAGGACTTAGCTCATGATTTTTGGATGAGGTTATTCTTTCTTGAGTATGTATTCCTAGTGTTATTTGTAAGGTGATTGCCATTGATTATTAAATGTGCTGGAATCGATTTTTTTTTTTTCTGTTGTTCTTTGTTCAGGCACCAGAATTTCCTGAGTTTACAGCTAAAGTCCAAGAAGCAATAAGTTCCTTGGGAGGCAGTGTTTTTCCTAAACTGAACTGGAGTGCTCCAAGGGTAAGAATGCTGACCCTTAAAACTTGTAACAGATATTATCACAAGTTCTTTTTTGTTTTCTCTTGATACATTGGAAAGTAGAAGAGGCTGGTGGCTCTGATAAAGGGAGGAATGATAGATATCAGTAAGTGTGATACAGCATATTGTTCTGGTATATTAGAGCTAGATGGTGCACTGTTTGAGGCTAACCCTAGGCAGCGCTGTCTCTATACATAAAGATTCTGCATCCTTCTCGTAGATAATAGTGAGGGTGAGACTTCCCTCATTTGGAATATTCGCTGAAAATTTTGAGATTAAAGAGAAAAACAATTTTTAAAAAGCAATAAACTTCCTTCAAGTTATTTTTAGTTACTGTAAGTATTCCTTAAGGATGAGGCATATCTGAATGTTTTTGTTTCATGTTCCCAAAGGAGATTTCTGTCTGAGCGTTCCAGGAAAGTGCCTGGAAGTAGTAAGGGGAAAGCTCAGTTTTTAAATAGATTTGCTCTGCTTTCAGCAGAGTATTAACTAAGAAAATGAGTAGCAATTCCAAGTTTCTTGTAACAGCTGATGAAGCTTTCCTCAGAATCTCCCCCGCCCCTCCCTCCCTCCGAAAGTGTTTTCTGCTTGTATTTCAAATGTAGGCAATATTTAGTGCAGATAGATCTGTAGCTTGTGTTCCTTCCTACTACTAAAGGTGCATTTTGGATAACCTGCTTGTTTTTTTTTTTTTTTTTAATTTAGGATGCCTACTGGATAGCAATGAATAGCTCTCTGAAATGTAAAACTCTCAGTGACATCTTTCTACTCTTCAAAAGTTCAGACTTCATTACTCGTGACCTCACTCAGCCGTAAGTAGATTTCTAGCAGACAGAATCTTATTTTTAACCAGTCAGAAAACCCCAAGCCTCTGAGGGTAACATTTCAGTTCCTTTGATAGCTCTTATTTACTGAAAAATAACTGTAAACATCTGATATGAAATTTCATATATTTGTTTCAACGTTGTGTATCGGACCAGTTTCAGGTACAGTATGAAAGAGTTTGTTCTTTGATGTTTTTTCCTCCACCTTTCCTTCTTCTTTTTCTCCTTCCACCATGCAAAAATAAATTCCAGGTTCAGTTTAGCGCAGAGAATTCTGTGAGGCAAATTATCGTCAGTGTTACTTACCAAAAGTGAGCCTTTTCTAGTAAACCAGAATTGTTTATCGTCTCAACTGGTGGAGAAACAGGCTTCATTCTATTCTTATACTTAATTCTCTTACTTTTAATATGCAAATGAGTGAAAAGCAAAACGGGAAGAGTATCATGTACTCGGCTACTACTACTTTAATATATGAAGTGACACTATGGATTAACACTATTTTTACTGAGTTGCTTTCCAGAGCAAATCCTATTTTATTGTTTTGGTGGATTTTTGTTTTGTTTTTTTGCCTTCCCACCGCTCTTAGTGTTTCCTTCTTGCTAGCTATCCTACTGTTGACAGTTTTTCTGATAATGCAGTATGACTTTGTTATGTCCCTTTCAAATTTTAAAGCTGTTGAAGTTTGTGTGGTTGCTTGGAAGGAGCCTGAGACTTCTGTTAATGCATTTCTAGACCGCCTTCTGAATCCCAGTTCTTGTAGTTCTTGAACAAATGCACCCCCAGGAACGTGACTAGATTTAATGATTACAGCCAAAATGTGAATACGGTATGACTGGGGTGTGTTTTATCTGCCAACATAAATAGAATACTTGATTGGATAGGAACAGTTTCCTCCTGTAATATCCATATCTGATTCCTATGACTCATTTCCAAATATTACCTTTTCTGGAAAAAATGAAAATTATTGGAATTTAATGTTCTTGTTACTATTATTTTTGTCAGAGAAAACAGAATTCTAAGACAAAGGACAGGGATAATCTGCTGCTCAGATTCCTGAAAGATTGTTTTCTAGTAATTGTTCAACGCTTATTTATATTACTGCAATATCTAGGAGACTCAGTCAAGTGCAAGGGCCTTTTTCTAGGTACTTCACAGAGAGATAACAAGCATAATTGTCCTGTCTTAAGTAGCTTATGACTGAGTAAGATTTGTCCTGTCTAAAACAGGAAACCGATTACCTCGTTGTTGTGCAACTGCCTTCCTTTTTATTTATGCAACCTTGTAACACCTTTTTTTTTCCATCTTCTGGAGCATTAAAGAATCAATAGGTAGCAACATCCTTACCCTCATCCCCGCATTCTTTATGGAGCGCAAGCAATGTTGTCAGTCCAATACACGTACCAAGTGTTCTGTGGTGTCTAACCTGCGATAATGGGAGGTGGAAGGGAGAGACTGAGAAAGAGGTTGAAATGAGAGGATGGGTTTGAAAAGTACGTTGGACTAGGGAAATGAGCGTTGCAAACATGTATTTATGGGGCCGTGGAGAATGAAAGGGATGGGGGAGATGAGAAAATCTGTAGTCTGCATTTCGGAGATGAGTGAATAGTGATTCTCAGGAGACGTCGGTGGTTTGCTAAGGAGCTGTCTTTGGTTCCTGGTGGTAATGGCAGGCCAGGCCATTTGGAGGGGGCCTCAGGGTGGTTCTCAGGTCTATAAGGCTTGAACTCTAAAATCTAATCTGTGTTCTTTGTCGTGACTCCTCTCAGAAATGAGTCTTCTGGGTCTCAAAAGATCTGTATTCTGCATACTGAGTCCTTTGTGGATATTAAATGACAATTATTTTTGTATCCTGCTATCCTCTCGTATAAAGAGCATCAGCAAAAAGTGCTGTGAGCTCCTTGGAGAATTCCTGTTTGGTTATTCACGTTCTAAGGAGTTTGGAACACAATCAAGGGCTTAGCAAGCACCGTTTGATTTAAGAGATGTGGCGATGTTATGATTCTCTGTGCTCTTAGCTAATGCCGTTTGCAGAGCAGAATGAGTTAGCCAGACCACCTTCACTGAAATTGGAGTGTTTTCTCTCATGGCTTTTATCTCTCATCAGGCAAGGTTAGCGCCTCAGCCATTCACCTTGCCCTCTGCAGGCAGCACTGACTTCTTCATGGTGGAGACAACGGATGGGTTCTAGCTTCTGTGCCGTGAGTTTCACAGCATGGGTGTTAACCTAAACCATCAGTAATTTCAGCTTACGTTCACGCCAGACTAAGAACAGTAGTGGCTGAGCAGCCTGTAGCAGACACGCTCTCTTCTGCTGTGGAAGTAACCTCTAGCAGAAAGATGATACCTGAAATTGCTCTAGCTAAACCCCTTCACGCTCATTTTCCAGAGTGCTAAGACGGCGTACACAGTCAGCTACTGCAGCTCCGCCACTGGTGGTGATTAAGTCAACCTTGTGACTTGATTGGGGGATTATCACCTAAACTAAAGGCAAAAATGCTGTTTCTTCTTTAAAAAAAACTGTTATGTTTATTTCCCTTTCTAAAAAGCCTAATGTTGTGTCGGTATAGAATTAGATTGTGTTTTTGCCAGAATGGGCTGTATTTTGTTGCAAGGCAATACAGCCTTGCACCTCCATCGATTTGAGTGGAAATTGTACTTAAGGTGAGGGGAATATTTATCCACGTGTCTATTAAACTTTTTGGTCTCTGAGTATTATGTTTTATGATTATTTTCTATTTGAACAGAACATGTACTATTATCCAGTCTGTGCATGGTATTTCTAAACTGCTAAGCTCTTCATACAAAATGTCCCTATCCAAAGGGTGAAGTGATCACTGCTGAATCACAAAGGCGGTCTTCATTAATTAAGCTATTGATTAGCTGCCAGCTCCCTAGTCCTTAGCAAGCAGAAATTAAAAATGTAGCTGGCATAAGAAAATAAAATGCTGAACAAATGAGAATTGGTACATAATATATCCAAATCACTTGGAATGGCTAGTCAGAGGGAGGAGAAGGGATAAAATATGCTCTTTCTACTTTTTTCATTAATATTCACCGTGCTATATAAGTATCTTGCCCTGCATACATAACAGCCAAATGTTGTATGCTCTGCCTTTTTATGTTCAACTGTCTTAACTTAAAAAAAAAAAAAAATCCACTTCCTGGGTCATAATGTAGAAAAGACTTCGCATGGCAATTTGAAGATCTGTTTCTAAACGCAGCTTTGCCAGTGACTTGCTGTGGGACTTAAGGCGAACTGCTTTCTGTGCCTGTTTCTTCCTCTCTTCTTTCCTGTTTGCTTATCTGGTGCTGGCCTGTAGGTTGTTTAGGTCAGGGAAGTGCCCTTGCTGTCGTTATTAACTGTCTCAAGTTCTGAGAAAATTCCAGCTATGCAATACTTCGATACAAGCCATTTAAAAAGTACAGCCTTAGTCAAAGCTTATCTAGTATGTTCAGTATATTTGCATAATTTAAATGTTTGGATTCTCTCATGATGTTGACTCTCTTTGGCTTAAAAGTTCAGAATAATGATTTAACTTTCCATTTAGAACAAGAAAAAATTAACAAAGGCTTCTGAGCAGTGCGCTCATTAATGTAATCAGTGTTGTTTCTGCTTCAAGTAAGCTTTGTGTTTTACTTGATTGAGTTCACAGAAAACTCGTGGGTGTTGTGATCCTTAACTTTTCAGTTTTTTAATGTAAGCTTTCAAAAACCTAGTGGTGTGGATAGATGATAAAAAAAAATCCGTTTCTCATAGGGATTTCTGTTCAGTGATTAAATCTCCTCTTTTGAACAAAAATTCCTTTGACGGCCTATACAGTGTATCTTATATATACATATATATATATATATACAGTTGTTATAGTGTTGGTTTCTTCCTTTTTTTTAGAACATTTGGGCTACGTTTTGTTGAGACATGAAAATCTACCTTGAGACTGGTATAAGTAGTGGCAGTAATGCTAATGATATGATAATACCCTTTCAATTATAAGATAGGCTTGTTTTCTCACGTTTGTTAGTAAAACCTTGGGATTTTGCAGAACTTTGTTCCTGTTCTCCAATATGATGCTGAGTGTTTCAGATCTGCCGATGTTAATATTGGGATGTTGAACCCTACAGCATCCCTACAGTTGTTTAATAATCACAATGGTAGAGAAAAAAACATGTCTTGCAAGACCAACCTTGTTCATATAATGCAAAAGATGTTCTCTTTCTGGGTCGCCCTTTCTCCTAGCATAGAGGGGGCGGTCTGAGTCACGTAGCAGTATAACTGTTGTCTGACATCCAAACTGTGAATTGACTTCAGTATTTTAATTAACCTGCTGTTTCTATGGGCCTGTTACTTCTTGAAGTTCATTCTTGAAAACTCTCTGAGAAGCTGGTGAGGCAGGTAGAGTAAAGAGTCTAGCAGTAGTCACTCAACCCTGCTTAAGCCCAGGATGCTATTTTGCAGGAATGAAGGGAGTCTGTGTGCTAACTTTAGTAGGTAAGAAACGACTTCCAGGTTAACAAAGCCAGTGGGCAAGGGAGAAGTTTCCAAATGTGTTGTCAATATGCAGGACACAAGAGCATCAGGGGAGATGCACTTTTCTATTTAGGTGTTTATGAGAGGACTTGGTTAAATTTTAAGTGCTTATTTCAGAAAACAAATCAGAAAGTCTGCTCTTGAGAGTTTAGCCCACTAGACTCTTAAGAACATTACTTGGTTTTAAAACCTAGCAAATATTTCAATACTTTTTTTTTTTTTTACGTTAGCACTCTCGTTACATTTTTGAACCTAGCCTTCTTCCAAATATTGGATCACAAAGTTCTCTGGTTGCCCAGAACTAGATGACCATGAAATCTCTAAAGCAATTAGTATGAGCAACTAACTTCCTGACTCTCTTTAGTCAAATATGATGGATAATCCTTGGAGGAACCCCATCCAGGAGGTGCAGGCTGGATGTGCCCCAAGCGCATGGAGACCACTCAGTGCAGCAGACAGCACAGCAGCCAAGTGCCTTAGACCAGAACAGTAATGCTACCAGGTATTGATGGTGCTTGTGTTTTACCCAAGTCTTCTAGCCAGAACACTTGCTAGGATGTGAACGACTGAGATGATGTCCTACGCACAGTATTGTTTAATCAGTTTTACATTAGATAGTAATTTAAATTTAATTACAACCTCCTTTCTTCCTCTGCTCTGCTCCCTCAGCCAGCCCAAAATGATCTGAGCAAAGGCTGACTACGGAGAGCTTTTCTTCTACTTATTTTCAGAGTCTGTTTTGTTTTCTTTCTAATTTTTGTTCTCTGAGAGAAAGCTAAAAAGTATTTGAGGTTCCAAACTTAACCTGTTTCTGCCTGTGACTGTTAACTGGAAAATATTCATTCTTTTTTTAGTGGGAAATTATAAAGTTTTTCTAAGACTTAGAGGAATAACAACTTGTGTCCTCCTGAGAGAACATAGGAGACAGTGTGGGCTCATGAAGATGTGACTTGGCACTCAGGATATCCTGTTACAAGAACTGTAGCTGTTAGTTTAGACATTAATTTTACCTATTTCAAGGCAAACCATTCCACATGGGAGGATGTGGAAAATGAGGCTGGTTTTTTTTTTTTTTTTGGTGAGATTTTACCCACCTCCCCGTTTTACCTAGGAATTTATGGAATATGTAGTACAAGATCCTTTTTTGAATGCTATATTAATCTCCTATGGGCCTTAGTTGGATACATGCAGTAAAGTTCAATATTCAAGAAATAAAGATGCAGTTCAAAGGCCGTTAGAAATTTCTCCTTGATTTGTTTTTATTGAAGTTTTAAATTAGGCTGTGGGATAATAGCAGGGGAACTTGTCAGGTACAAAATAACTCTTACAAGTCTCATTATTTTTTTAATAGTTTGTTATTATATGAAGACTAATCTCTGATTTGTAAATCAGTTTATGGCTCTCTTAGCGGGATAGGTACTGGAGGTCTTATAAACATTCTTAAATCACTTTTCTCAGAGTACTGAAAACTGAAGTGCATGACTGCTTCGTGTAACGTCCTGTTGTGTCAAGTGTATGCATTTGGAGCTTAACATGCATGTTGATCCTTCTCTTGTTGACATCCAAGTATAAACCTGTAAACAAGCTGTTGACCACAAGCTTTATAAGCTATGGAGTTTAATTCCTTCATTCTTGCTGGTGTTCATAACAGCGATTTTCAGAAGCTTCGGAAAAGAGAGTCCGGATAGCTTTAAATTTTGCGTTCCTGAAGTGTCTCTGAATGCTCTTTGAAGTAGCTGCAGGCCTGAATAGGAGGCAGGTTAAAGAAACCCTGCTTTAACCTTTTGCCCCTAACTTTCAAAAGGCAACATGTAATGGATGAATTGAGCTGTGTGCAATCAGTTAATGCCATAGTAAGGTTGGTATAAATACGTAGGTGCAACTACATCAAGTTGCACCTCATTTACACAGAAAGCTGGGGGGTCTGAGTAAGGCTTTTTTGACAAAAACTCATAGTATTCAGAAGAAAAATGAGGACAGAGAGGACTGTGGCTTGAGTTTTTGTCTTTCACTGCATTTTTTTTCCCCACCTCCCTTATACTCAGGCCTGTGTCATTAAGGCTCAAGGAAAACGTTTCTGTGTCTTGCGGTGTTTTCTTCCATGTTTATCACTGTGTGTGTTTGCTTGGTTTGGTAGCAATGTCTAAGCAGTTGGCGTGACTTGGGATGGCATACAAGGATTTAATTTTATGACTTGCAAGGAAAGATATCTTCCTCCACGTACCCAACCCTCAAATATTTCAGAGGGGGCTTAGGAGTATTTAATTCTGATTGATCATAAGACTGGAAAATATTGTAAGAGTGCATTTTACTGGAATGGACCGGACTGCAGATTCCCCAGTCTCAAGTGTGGAAGTCCATGAAAGGTAATACAGGACTGAGCCAGCTCCACGTGCTGGACTTCAGCTGCCCTTTATATATGGCTTATGGATATTTTGGGGGCGGAGGAGGGAGATGTTTATTTGAGCATGGTAAACATATGATGATAATGCTAAACTCGGAATTCCTGCAGGCTGTCGTGAATTTGCTTCTATCATCTTGACAGATCTCCAGTTGCTGGAAATATAAACCATAGCTGATGTATGTTATCTGTTTACATAGGCTTGCAGATATACATGATTTGTTTGATTACAGTATTTTGGAACGCATGCCTGCTATCGCCTTTTCTCGTGTGTTTGTGTGGTGGATAATAAAGCCTAAACCAAAACGTGTGAAATTTATTTTTGTTGGCAGCTCGTTGAGTGAGCTCTTAGGATAGCTCGCTGCTTCAAACTCAAGGTTGTGCAGCCACGTCTTACAACTGCAATGCTTGTAGAAGAGATGCCAGACTTGTGGATTACTTAACCAAGTTCAGCGCTGAAGGCAGATTGCATAAAAGTTGCCATTTAAGAATATTGCTCTGCTGTGACCCTTTATACAGCTCTGTTTACATCAAAGTAGTTTGTTGCCAGTAGGGTCAGGGAGTACCCTCGGAAGGAAAATGCATGTTTTTTTGATAACTGCTTTTGAAAGTTACAGGATTTATTGTAAGGCTTGCTGTATAAAACTGAGAGCCTACACAGTTGTTGGCTTGGGTATAAGTGCTTCCATTCTTGATAGTTCCTGAATGGTGGCGCAAAGAGTCAGATAATCACAAGGGATGAAATATTGGCATCTGCCTGCAGTTTTGGAAATAGTTTTGTTTATTCGTGCTCTTGAGAGCTATTTTTCTACAGGTATTTCTTAATGCTGTTAATTTAGAAAGACACCATGCTGTGGTATCAAGAGGGTCGAGTGGTGCTGTTTTGCGTCCTTTAATCATGGAAATGAAAATAGTCCTGAGTTGCTGTAAGACATAAATGTGTCTCAGTTGTTGGGTTTGGGAAGTTAAACATCAAAATTGCTAGGAAATACATGTCACAATAGATTGTTAGTATGGTTCTTTGAGAATCTGGTTGTACTAGTATAACCATAAAGAAGAAAGGAACAGCACTGATAATTCAGACAAAAGGCTTGGCAATGAAAAATACTCCCTTTTTAGCTAAATTCCTGCCTAAATTAAAGGCTTCCAGATTACACTAGATAAAAAGATGATTTTTTTTTTTCCTTGATAGTCCTTGGAAAGAGGCTTGTTATTGACATACTGAACTCACTGAGTTTGTACATCTTGGATATACTTTAGCGTGACCTTTTGTGATTCACAATTCAGGTTTATTTTTCTCACTGTGGCTAAAATCTTATATGTAAAAGCTGATTTTGATGCATGTGACTTATTTTTTCCAGATTTATTCACTGCACTGATGATTCCCCTGATCCGTCCTTGGACTACGAGGTAAGACTCTTTGCTTGATTTCTAGGTAATTTAAATGAATTACTCACAGATAGGCTGCCATTTGTGCTTGGGCATGTGCCAATAATGTTTTATTTATTTTGTTGCTGGGGCAGCGGGGAGATGCCTGGTGAAGAACTGTAGGGCATAAGGAGTTTTTTTAATTACGGGTCGGCGATGAGCTGTAGTTCAGGCTTTTGAAGCTGCTTTGTAGTTTCCTCTAATGTCTGTTAGGTTTTGTCAGGAAGCACAAGCTCAGTAGCTGAAAATCATTTGTTCTCCATAACGTGCTTCTTGTGAACATCACAACTGAGGTTACTAAGGGAAGCTAGCTGTAGTGGCTGTGGATGTCCTGGCTACTAAGGGCTGAATTGGTTCTATCTTGTTATGCACGTTCATTGCCAGATTAAAACCTTAGGTTAGTGATTTAAAGATGTTTTAAACTGTTCATGTGGTGCTATTGGTTTTATTATAGCATCTAGTCATGTCTCTAGTAATAATTTTGTGTGTAAATATAGCATTTGTCATCATCCTGTAGGCTTAAAGCGCTTTAGAAAAGTGAGCGAACCCTGTGCCTCAAAGCACTATCTTAATGTGCTTTAAAAAGGTGGGGTATCTGAAAGTTGGGACAAAGATGTTCATGTTCACATTGTAGTTAGGAGTGTCAACTTTGATTGTTGAGTTTTCCATTACAGTCGATAGGTGTTGGGAGATTCCAATGCCCGTGAACAGTAATTGAGGCCCTCAAAATAACAAATCTGTCTGAACGCTTCACGTTAGGAAATACAGAAACTTCATAAAGTGCCAGAGATAATGCCTTAATTACCAGGCAGTCTGCTATTGACTATAATGGTTTGGTTACTATTTCTATCCTGTGTGCTTATTTTAATGGATTTGCGCCTTCAAAGGCATCACAGAATCCTGCTTGGGTGTTGTATCCCAGAATAGACGTTGATTTGGTTAAATTTAATTCTGCTCATCAGCTCCTTTGACTAGAGGGCAACTTCCTGCCAATTCCATGAGAGATCTGTTGTGCTGTACAGCAGGATTTTTTATTTTCCATGCTTTAACATTAATGTAACTTTGAAATTCTTATTAGAAATTTCTTGGTTATAAATGTACAAAGTGGAAGATTATAGGATAATTAAGGTGGGAAGGGACTTCAGGTGATGTCTAGTCCAACCTCCTGCTCAAAGCCAGGTCAGCTATGAGCTCGAACCAGGTTGCTCAGGGCTTTATCAAGTCTAGTCTTGAAAACCTCAATGGATGGAGACTGCGCAACCTCTCCAGGCAAGCTGTTCAAATGCTTGGTTATCCTCATGGTGAAAAAATTCATGTCCAGTGTGAACCTCTTTTGCTTTAGCTTATGCCACCTACCTGTTGTCATCCCAGGAAGGACTTGGTAGTGTTGCTTTTCATCGTTGTATTTATTGTGATGTGTGCTGCTACAGAATTGCTTTGATCCTAGCTAACATTCAATGAAAAATACAGAGAAAAATTGAGGAGCATATGCATTAATAATTCCTGTAATGTAAATCTTGGATTAAATAAAATTGAATGGAAAACAAGTTTTGTTTTGTTTTGTTTTCAAATGTCTGCCCTATATCTTCCTAAACTATGAAAGTCTGGTTGTTTTTGTTCAGTCGTGGTGACTATTGAATGCAGTCGATGTTAGTAGGCTGTTTATGACCAGTGGCAGAGGGCGTATGAATGTAGCAGATATATTCAAGGCTCTCGAACCATATCTGGAGTTCCAGACGTACATACTGACGTAACAGCATGCTCTAAACATGTAACCGTGGAAAGAGGTGACACATCAAATTATTTTCTAGGCATCAGTGTTGAAATATTTTCACCTTCAAAACAGGGTCTCTAATGGGTAAAATTATAGCCTATTGGGTTCATTTTTGTCTTTACGTTCTCTTTACAGGTAAATTAGTAATAAACAAAATAACTTTTTGAAGTATTTGCTAAGATAATTAAATGGACTGATGGTTGAGTGTGTTTTTTTTTTTTTCCCTTGTATCAGGAATAACCTCAGAGGGTTGTGTTATAATTACAGTAAAACTGTTGGAAGAACTAGGAGGTATGCCTGAAGACAAAACATTACCTGTTATCTTTCTGAAACAATGCTTTGTCATTTGTTTTTTTTCCTCTGTAGCTCGTTCTTCGAAAATGGTGTGAGCTGATCCCTGGTGCGGAATTCAGATGCTTTGTCAAAGAAAACAAGCTTATAGGTGAGGATTTTCTTAAAGATTAAAGTATTCAGTGAAATTCTTAAGAGTTGCTGCTGATTTCTTTAATCAGTGTTATGTCTGAAGATGCTTTT